TTGTGCAGAGCTTGGGGTTCTAGTTAACTGACCCATAGTATTGTTTTTTCGATGTGGGTTTCTGAAGACCTTGTTTATTAATTTAGGAAATATTGCTCTCTTTTCCTAGGCTCCTAATTGCAGTTTAATATAAGAGCTAAACAGCTATGCACGATGATGCTCAATCTCCCATTATCATCATCATTGTCTGCCATGGCAGCGCTCCATCGTTGTTGATCATTGCCTTCATCTTCGTCTCTGTAATTTTTCTTGATATTTTCTTCTGTTCGTGCTTCAATTTAGACTTGTAGAGTGTTTGGTTCTGTTTAGAATTTGAAGTAAAATTGGAGTCAAACGAAGGTGGTTCAAGTCATTTTATGACATATGAACCTATTCTTAGTTGTATTATAAGATCTTATTAAGCCATATGAGTCAAGTTACGATCTTTAATCCCCTTCAGATCCTCAAATTTTACAACATTGGTTTGAACCCTGGCCAACTATGTACCAGTAAGAACCGTGATATAATCATTTGACTAGTGTCAATCAAAAATGAAAGATTAATGCAAAGATTAAAAAGAGCAAGGGAGAGGAAGAAGCTGGTGCTGATTAAGCCACAATGTGGTCAATATTGATAAATTGCCTCTATATAGCATACACAACTCTGGGATATGAAATTCATGTTTTGATCACCCTTTTAAGTCGTGGTCCACTTGTTTTTCCAGGATAATTTCTGTGATCACTCACCCTCTTTCACATTTGTATGTTTTAGTTTTAGAATCCGTATCATTGTAGAAACATGATAATGTGCGTATATTCCAATCAATGCTAGCCAAGTGGCTAATTTAGATAGATATACAGTAGCTAAGATTAGAGAATAAATATGAAGTGAGATAAAGTAGCCCTGATATTTTTCTGTTTTGAAGTTGGGTTTGTCATGATACTCAGCAATCACATAGGCTTATAGGCTATTGGTATAAATATGTTGTTTATTTGTTCTGTGGAACTGATGTTTTCTAAACTTTTGTTAATTGCCTCTTTAATTAGAATCGTATCCTAGGGAAGAAGGATCTGATAGTTTACAGGTTTTTCAAATGATTTTAAAAATAGTTTTCGGATCCGGATAGATAACTAATAGTAAGGGTAAGGCAATACAATTTATTCTGAATTCTTTATTTTCAAGACGGAAGAAATTGGTATTACTTATAAAAGCAGTATTAAGAAATTATACTTATCAATTCAGTTTTTTCTTTAAGTAACAGAACATAGCTTTCAAGAATAGAAAACAATTGGCACTTAATAACACTGGTCTTTGGTATGTGTTATGGTTTTAACTTCTGGTTCCTCTGCAGTTCTTCTACTTTGACTCTGTTGAATCACTCCCTTCAGAACCAGTGGACCCAAATGATTTCAAACCAGTAAATGGCCGTTATGATGCACAGATTTCAGTATTTGGACGGAAATTACAGAAAAAATTAGAGGATGCTAAAGTGTTTGTTGTTGGATCTGGTGCTTTGGGATGTGAGTTTTTAAAAAATCTTGCTCTCATGGGAGTTTCGTGTGGAAGTCAGGGTAAACTCACTATTACTGATGATGACGTGATAGAGAAGAGTAACCTAAGCAGGCAGTTTCTTTTTCGTGATTGGAATATTGGACAGGCTAAGTCCACGGTTGCTGCTTCAGCTGCTGCATCCATAAATCCTGGTTTTAATATTGAAGCTCTACAAAATCGGGTTGGCACAGAAACTGAAAATGTGTTCAATGATACCTTTTGGGAAAACCTGAATGTTGTTATAAATGCCCTAGACAATGTTAATGCAAGATTATATGTTGATCAGAGATGCTTGTATTTCCAAAAGCCTCTTCTTGAGTCTGGAACTCTTGGAGCCAAATGCAATACACAGATGGTTATTCCTCACCTGACAGAAAACTATGGTGCATCAAGAGATCCTCCTGAGAAGCAGGCACCAATGTGCACTGTACACTCGTTTCCACACAACATTGACCATTGCTTGACATGGGCACGATCTGAATTTGAGGGTTTGCTAGAGAAAACTCCAGCTGAAGTAAATGCATATTTGTCTAACCCAAGTGAATATACCACCTCAATGAGGAACGCTGGAGATGCTCAAGCAAGGGATAACTTGGAGCGTGTTCTTGAGTGCCTGGACAGTGACAAGTGTGAAACTTTTGAAGATTGTATCACTTGGGCTCGGCTAAAGTACGTTCCTTTGACAGTATATGCTACTCTCTATTAACTTTTATATTAATGGTGTGTGAGCATATTAGTTTTGTGTCCTTTTATAAACACATTTCTCCACAGGTTTGAGGATTATTTTGCTAGCCGGTTGAAGCAGTTGATCTACACTTTTCCCGAAGATGCTTCTACTAGTACTGGAGCTCCTTTCTGGTCCGCGCCAAAAAGATTCCCTCATCCCCTGCAGTTCTCATCGTCTGATTTAGGTCATCTAAATTTTGTGTTGGCAGCTTCAATTTTGCGTGCAGAAACCTTTGGTATCCCAATCCCTGATTGGGTTAAGAACACTAGGAAGGTGGCCGAAGCTGTGGATAGGGTGATAGTACCTGACTTTCAGCCCAAGGAAGGTGTGAAAATAGTGACAGATGAGAAGGCTACCAGTCTCTCCACAGCTTCTATAGATGATGCAGCAGTTATTAATGATCTAATAGTCAAGTTAGAGAGGTGTCGCGCTACTCTGCCGTCAAAGTTCAGGATGAAACCAATTCAGTTTGAGAAGGTACTGCATTTCCTGTCACTTCGATTGATTTTTCTTTTCTCTGACGCTCCTTCTAGTTTCACTCTCTTGATAAAGTTACGTAATCTCATCAATTTGTATATTTTGTAGTTATGTTCGACGATCCTGACTTTATATTTATTTGATGTGACTCTTCTGCATTTTGTGTTTATATATTTTTATGAGTCGTTTTCGCCAATTGAGAACAAACCATTCTGCCATTTTAACTACAGGATGATGATACAAACTACCATATGGACGTGATTGCTGGGCTTGCCAACATGAGGGCCCGGAATTACAGCATTCCTGAGGTGGATAAGCTCAAAGCCAAGTTTATTGCTGGACGGATCATTCCTGCAATTGCAACCTCGACCGCCATGGCCACTGGTCTTGTCTGCCTGGAGCTTTACAAAGTTTTGGATGGAGGGAAGAAAGTTGAAGACTACAGAAACACATTTGCTAATTTGGCACTGCCTCTGTTTTCAATGGCTGAACCAGTTCCACCGAAGATTATCAAGCATCAAGATATGAATTGGACAGTTTGGGATAGATGGATTGTTGGAGATAATCCTACCCTGAGAGAACTTCTTGAGTGGCTTAAGGCAAAGGGGTTGAATGCTTATAGTATTTCCTGTGGAAGTTGCCTGCTCTATAATAGCATGTTCCCTAAGCATAAAGAGCGAATGGACAAAAAGGTAGCAGATCTGGGAAGGGATGTAGCCAAGTTGGACATTCCTTCATACCGTCGTCATTTGGATGTTGTTGTGGCATGTGAGGATGATGATGATAATGACATTGACATCCCTCAAATATCCATTTATTTCCGTTGATAGAGCCCTATTCCGTGTTTGAGACTTAGGTCAATGACACAGACCGACACCATGTTTGACTTATGCATCATATTCATAATTCATACAAAAGGAAAACATTATGTCAATTTTCATGTGAATTGAGAAAACAACTTTGTTCCTCCTCATTTTTCTCTATTTGCATATACTATTATGTTGTTACGGTCTCTGTTTATTAAGTTAAGAGTTGAGATTATATTTCAGTTTAGGCACGTCTTTTTAAGATAAATTGTGGATACTTCTAAAATAACTTTCTACTGTAATAATATAATTACATCTTTAATATGCGTAGTTAAATTATGTCAGTCTAAGCAATTTTTTTTGTTGTATTTCATAAATTAAACATTACAGTATGGTCCCGTCATCATTGAAATGAGAGTAGCTTGGAAGGAGCTATGGTTTTGTTAAGAGATGTTTAGTGAAATTATTCGTAAAAGCACATTAGACATATATAATATATACACAATTTTTTATATAATTTTCAATTTTATTTTATTGATAATACTTTTCGAAAATGTTTTTAATGAATTTTCAATTCTATAATATTTTGTTTACAGATAAATCATTTAAATCACATTCATATTTTTTCAATTGTTGATTATATTTTGTTTTGTATAAATTTTATAGTATATTTTCAATACTTTTTACAATTTAAAATGAAGTAAAATAACATTTTTAAATGACTATCACGCTTTTGTTATATTAATTAATATTTAAAAATCTAAAAATAATACAAGTAAAACAAATCTACTATCTATAAATTGAATGTAAAATAAAATAAATTATATAATAAAAAAAATCCTGACCATTACAGTTCCTGACCATTTCTTGTCGTATAAGGACTTACCGAAAAAGAAAATCAAATTAGATTTATATGGATGACAAAATTATTGATTTTGTGATTAAAGATTCAATTAAAAAATATAAGTTTGAGAATTTAACATTCCATTGCTTGCTTAAAATTTAGAAATTATTTTCGGAGTACTGTTCATTTGCAGTAAGTTAACAACATTATATTTATTTCAACATGATGAAGGTGAGAAAGCTTTACTTCCATGATAATATAAGAAATCATTTTCTACCTCGTTAAACCTTAATCAAAGGTATCTCTTACCTTGTAACATACTTTGTTTTTGTCAAAAAAATATTACACATTTTTTTCACTAATTTTATTCTTGCTAAAACTACAACCATGAAGTGTAAGGGGATGATCTATACTAACAAAACTATTTACTTTGAAACATATCATTGATTAGTCCAAGGATCCATAATAGATTATATAGTTTGCAATGAAAAAAGAAAAAAGGGTGAAGGTGTAACGTTTTATGTTTAACTATTTTTGTTATAATAAATTGATTCACCTTGACAAAAACATCCATTAGATGAAACAGAGACAGTTATAGCGTTGTTTATGGCACGAGTCACTCAAACCAGACATCAGATCCAAAACATTGTATCACAAATTTCCATTTTCCTATTTGCCACCAAAGACATGAACTTCATGAATACTATCTGAATGAACAGCATTATTTATAACAAATAATTTTAGTTCTTATCAGCACCTTCATCAAAATCTCTGGAGACTCCAACTCTGAAATCAATTTGTTTTTGATGCTTTGAACGCCGGCGCTCGTCAAAATTGTCCCACCCTTCAAACTGCAATAAATCAATCAATGCATATTTGACTGTCATGTAACAGTTTGTTTCTTAGAAATTACATGTTCAGTTGAACTGACATAACCATGATAAACCAACCCTTCTGACGAAAAAAAAATGTGCACACCTGGCGAAGGAGATCAATTGTTATTTCTGTGTTGTGGAGATCCAATGTGGAGAGTTGAAAACAGGTCTTGAATAGTTTTGATGGAAGAGATTTCATGGCATTGTTACTGAGGTACAGTGCCTGCATAATTCACAGAGAAATGGAGTAATGAGTAGGAAAAGTTATATCCATTTTTACCAAGACATGAGTGACCAAGTATGGAAGATTAATATATTGAGTAAATGCTCACTTTGGCCCCTGAATTTGAAACTGTCACATTAGTCTCTGAATTTAAAAAAGTTCAAACAAATACTTGAATGTGTAAATCTACAATCAGATTAGTCCAACATCCAAAAAACATAGGATTAAAGTGATAGTGTTTAAAATGATACATCAATGTGAAGTAGTCCTCATGTAGTACTAAGGTAGAGGAGTGAAATTGCAACAGTATATAGTTACAGTTCTTAAACTTCAAAACCATTTAAAGATAACATACCAAATAGTTAATAAATAACTTGTGATGGGAAACAAACCCACATTACATTTTCTTTTCATGTTAGATAAGATGGGTCAGAAAAGGGTACCTTCAAATTGTTCAAACTACTAAATGTCTCTGGCAATTCTGACAGAAAATTTGATGAGAAATCAACCTACGTCACAAGAAAAGTTGCATATATATTTAAGAGCATAAATTATCGAAGAAAAATGATTATTTTCAGTGGCGTTTTAATTTTTCAATCCTGTCTCAATTGGGAAGTCCCATCTGAAAAAGGAAAACAAAGATGAGAGAAAGGAAAGGATAGAAGAAGACCAGCAATTGTACCTCAACAAGAGAATGGCAGTTCCCAATAGTGTCACTGATGATACTTATCCTGAGAAGATGATACACATCAATAAAAATAACAACTTTTTAATCAACATCAGTTAGCAATTTGTTAGTGGTAATTACTGCAAGAAGTAGATGGATTTTGAATAAACTGGTTTGTTCAGCTAAGTAGTAAACTCAACTACCTAAGTAGTAAACGAGCCAAGTGCAGGACAATCCTTAAACAGGGTTTTAGTGATTTGACCAAACTTACAATGTGTTGCAATAATATATTCATACTTAATCAAGTACTAAATTTTAAATAATACCTATTGTTGTTGGCTTGCAAGACTTCTAATTTAGTCAGATGCTCTATTTCATCAGGAAAGCCACCCAATTTATTATTGGAAACATGCAGCTCCTTCAAAGAGGTAAGTGACCCAAGTGCAGACGGCAAAGTAGTTAAACTGCATAGAAATCATGTTAAACAACCAAATTACGTGAAGAAACAACCTTCTTGATCAACTTTCAATACAAAGACCAATAAGCTAAGGTTAGTTAAAACTTTGAAGTCATTCTTTCAAATATGCAAAGAATTTGTTTTATAGATTTAACATTAAACCAGAATAACCTGAAATAATGGTTAGTAAGCAAGTAACCTTTGGCCTTTTACATTAAACTCAACAAGCAATATGCTAGGAAACAAACAAGAAATATAATTACTGCATCCCATTATCTTTGGGCCGGGAACCAACTATTGAAATTATGATGGTTTAGAGGGACTAACAAAAATCCATATTGAAAGAAATATTTATATAAATTCATTTGTTGTTTTATGCAACTAAATCCAAGCAGGCACACATTGAAATTACAAATGATAACATCTGCTCACTTGTTATAGTTCAATGTTAATACAGTTATGTGCTTCAGAGTTGTTAGTCCTTCCCACTTAATTGATTCATCCTCTATCTCATTTGAATCCATGAATAGTTTCTGCAGTGTTTTAAAAAAAGCAAGCAGTGTTAATTATTGCTCAATGAAAACAACTTGATGTAGCAGAAACTAAACCTATAGAGACATTCAGCTTACCTCTAGACTTGTAAGACGTGCAATTTCGACAGGGACACTTTTGATTGAATTGGTTTTGCAATCTAGAACTCTTGCAGAAGATCCACAAACCCACACTTCTTCAGGTATGGCCTATTTAAATAAAAATTTCTAGAAAAAATGAGTGTTTCCGAAACTGATAATAATTACATATTACCAAAATTTATTTTATTTTCCATTGATTTCTGTTTCCATTGGCTGTTTAAATACTTCCTTTCTAGATTCACCAAGGCACAGAGCATGCTATCAGAACTAACTAATGTAGGCTACGTTTAACAATAAAGGACCAGTCACCATTATTATTGGATTTTCAGCAATAATTTCTATAATGATTTCAAGCCTAGAACTTGAGCTGTTAGAATTCCCTATTTTGTAACCCAAACTTGACATGTTCTTGTTGGCACACTAAGTTGCTTAGGTTATGATAGGTTTTACAAGAAAGAAGTGAACAGCGATACTGGAGCCTATCCTTCCACTAAAACACGTGTATTACACAGCTAATAACAATTTAATAAGTATAATGTGCAGAGTTGCATATGTAGCTTCAACCAAGTTCTATGATGTTGTCTAGCGCTATGCCTAATCCAAAATGAGTAACTAGAGTTGGAACTCCAATTATTTGCTTATAAAAAATATTGACCTCAGCAGGTATTTGATATAAAATTGAGAGTCACATCAGATATGAACATGAAATCAGTGATTTATTCTGGCATATTGTCTTCAGAGAGGTAATGTGCGGAATCTCCTTTTCCTGTATGATTTGTTTTGTGGTATAACCACATACCACATGTGTGGTTGTTCAATAAGATTTTATGGTTAAATAATGGACAGAAGAGACAAAAAAGATGAACAAGACAGTATGAAGTTCTTCTGGTCTGGACATGGACAACCAACAATTACATGGACAAAAAAGACAAAACAAAAAAATTATTTTAATTTTAACCATAATAATCAGTGATCCATCTTGCTCCGCACCAAAAACCTACTTATACACAATCATATGAAACTACCATGAATTATGAATTAGACAACAGCAGTTGGCCAAATTGCTAGGATCAAACAGCATTGATGCAAAGGTCTTGGGTTCACTCTTTTGTCATAACCGTCATTCCAAACTCTTAGTATTGTGACATGCCTTAACCTTGGAATGAAAACTTCCCTTCCACCAAGAACTTTCTTATACTTGAAAAAGAAATCTGCTTTGAATTGTAATGATTTGATGGATTGTTTTGTAAATGATGTTATAGCCTGGCTCGACCTACACATTCCTAACATGTGAACTACAAAATAGATTCCATATGCACATATGGCATGAAAAAAAGAAGACAAAAGTGGATACTTTCATATCGTGCCATGAATAAAATTTACCACGTTCCTCATCTCTAATTTTCCATTTGACACAAAACCAAGCGTCTAGTTGAATATAAGAAAAAAATATTATTACCTCTAACTTGCTTTCAGATAATGCTACAACTCCGGTTGCTTTCCACCGTTCCATCCTGTTCTTAATAGGAATTTTCTTCACGTCATTGCTAGAGCCTGAGCGACTATCTTTCCTCGATTTGGGAACAACATGAGCTTTCTTCAAGATGGGTCCATCCTGTAAAAGAATCAAAATCTTCAAGCTACATTTTTCTGTTTGCCATAGAAACAAGCAAACTCTACACAAGCACATCTTTAAACATAATTTTTATTTTCAATGAGAAGCATGATAAACCTCATCAAACTTGTCTGATTGTATAATATCCATTCTAAGTAGCTCCATTCATCTCCTATTCGAAAGGATCCATCTAGTTTGTCTATACCAATTTTGGCAAGGCATTCGTATAAAACATTTTCCTTTGGGTTACCCAATAACCATAAAACCACAATTTAACTTAATGATGAAATCATAGTATCATACAGCAGAGTTAACGACCCGTCATGCTTCAATAAAGTAGATTTTTTTACTTAAGATTTTGATTTTAATTTTCATGCACCATGTTAAGATTTTTACACAGTTTGCCAATTTAAAAAGCCAACAATCTTACCATACACCATGATACATTCTCTAACAAATTCTTCACTGTTGGTTAAAATTTATTGAAAACTAAAAGAATATAAGTGGGGTTCATTAATTGCAATAAATTTCCTAAGAGTCTCTCCAAAAGTGTTTTTTAGGGACTATGTTGCTAGCATTTCTCATGTAAAATGTATGCATTTTAAATTCACTGATAGAAAATAAAAACTAATTTTATTGAACACTATCTCCGTAGCTGACAAAACCCAGAACAGAGAAAGAGATTCATGAAGCAATATACAATACCCCTTGATATAAACCTTGAGAAGCCACAAGCATGAGTTTGGATCCATTAGTCAAGTTGGATGCAGTCAAAGTCACGGGGTCTTCCAAAACCTTACCTGTAAGATCATTCTTTAATTTGATTCACACACGAATTCAAAAGGGGTGGGGGTTCTTTCATAAGGGTGTCGAATGAAAAAGAGAAAGGGGCAAAAGCTGAAACCTTTGAAGATGAGTTTCTGGCCCCGAGGGAGGACATTGGTAGAAGGTAGAAGAAGGGACTTGAGGTCTTTGACGGTAGAGTTGGGTGAAATTGAGACCGGTATGTTGACGCCATTGAACTTGACGTTTACGGTTATGGTGGTGGCAATCGAATCAGGTTCCATTTCACCGATTCCTGCTATGAGTGTTTTCAAGACGAAGAGCGTGTACTACGAAGGAAGTTAAAGAGCATCATAGTTTCACAAATTATACGATTTTGTTGGATTTTGAAGGAGTGATTCAAATGACGATAGATTCTGCAGTGAGTAACTGTTTTTCAAGCGTTTCACAGGTAAAAATGATTGAAGAAATGTTAGGATTTTATATTGGTCGTAAGTCTTACTTTTTTAGAAAATAGTATAATTTTTTCTTTAAAATATGACTTTTAAAAGAAATAAATACTAATTTAATATACTGTTTCAATTTCACAAAAACAAGTTGAAATGATGCTTTTAATATTTTTAAAAAGGGTTAAATATGTTTTTAGTCCCTAAACTGTTGGCAGTTTCTGGTTTTCGTCCCTGTTTCAAAGTAAGGTAGGTCCTCATTTAGCAACAAATGAGGACTAAAACCAAAATTCCGAGGACTAAAACGAATTTTTCGATAAGAATGAGGACCAAATTGTACCTTACTTTAAAAGAGGGACGAAAACCAGAAACGGCCAATAGTTTAGGGACTAAAAACATATTTAACCCTTTTAAAAATAAATAAATAAACTAAGTTGGTGGACAGATGTGAATGTCTGCTAGTAAAAAATTGTAGTGGTACTTTTATTTTCATTAATCAGTATTTTTCATGAGCATGTTGGAGATTTATGTGCTAAACAAAACTTCTAGGAGATTTAGTTGAAATAAGTATAATTTTATTTAGAGGTGTCAATTTAATTCATGACTTGTTTAGCCCCAACCGAAAAAGTCATATTTTAAGAAGTCTTTGAAATAGGGGTCAAAAAAAAATCTCAACTCCCAAAACTCCTTCTCAAATGGGTTAAGGTCAGGGTTAAAGTGGGTTTAGTCTCACCGCAAAACTTTAATTAAATTCTAGAAACAATATAATATATATATATATATATATATATTATTATAATTTTGCTCTCTCCCATATATATTATATTATATATATTATATATTAAATATTTATGAATCAAATTGATCAAATAACCGCATTAGAAAGATAAAATATGAGGTTTTATGTAAATTAAACTTGCTGAAATAAAAAATTAATATTAGAAATTTACATTTTAATCTTATAAACAGTCAGTCAATAAATATGTTAATTAATTATAAACAATTCATTTAATATCTAACAACTTTTATTAATAATTTTCAACAGTTTATTCTTACATTTTTCCTTATTTCTAAACTACTCATACAACATGTTCTATTGGTGGTATGTTATTTGACTAATGTAAATACTTATATATATATATATATATATAT